CCACTGTATCTTTTTTGTAGATGCATCCTGCAAAACTTGAAGGCTATCCCGAAACCATGACGTAACTTTTTCGGTTTTTGTCTCTTCTCGGTAGATCATTTTGGTGTGGAGAAACCAAAGCATTCAAAAGCGCGGCAAGCATTTCCCACTACGAAACTTTCGATGGATTGGTGAGGAGACGAACAAGAGAACCGTTAATTGCCGTGCCGTCGCGCGCGACGCATCGTGAGGCGGTGCGTGGCGGATTCTCGATGCACATCAGTTTGTCGATTGGAGCAGCGAAACACATGCGGATTCATGAGAGAGCAAGGCTCTATGCCCAATGATATCAATTTTCCCCTCTCTTTATATTCTAAGTTAAATGACTGGGCGGGACAACTCGTCTTTCGCGTACGCGACGTCGCTCACCACGCTCATTACAGCATATACAGTTGCTTTGTCACATACTAGGATGAACGTCCACCTATTTTCTAAACAAAGAAGGGTTCGCACAATAGTGCTGGTTTATCCTTGCGGAGTTTCATCCTTCTATACATGGCGTCCATTGAAGGATTCGGAGGAAGGGGGATGAAACGATATTTGTAACACCTCACGGTTCCAAGGAGTTTTTGCGAAGAATTGGGTTCACCGTAGTACACTTGTACTATCGCACTTGGTACGGGGCCTGAACCTACGTTTGGTGTACCAGAATGGTGCGCAACTACACAGAAAGCCTCCCCTGGCCAAGGAGCCGTCTACTGTGGCGTTGATTGCACTGGCTTCGCTAGCGAGAGTATTATTTAAACAGCAGTGGAACCATAACCGCTACAGACTTTTGATGGTTACATTCAGAGGGTTTTTACTCACTCATATCATGTTGTGGCTAGCTTTCAAACACTGCTGCACTATTCTGTACGAAACAATTCATGCAAGTGGTCATCTTTTATGGCATAAAAAACTTCGTTTTCGCCAATTGATACGTGAATATTAAACAGTCATTGTTGAGTCAGGCTAAATGAAATCTGAAAAAAAATGTACTCGTGAATGTAGTAGGGACATTTTTTTACTGATCAGTTAAAAATATTCATTGAAGCCCACTCCAAATGTAGTGAGTGCACGGCCCCAAGCGCTTCATTTCATTGAAATCGGGCCTCAACGAAAATCATTGAATAATTAATTACTGAACACAAATTCATTGGACGCTTCATATGCTGTTTTGAATTGGATCTCGATAGCTCTCCACATTCACTATCTGAGTGTGAAATGCTCGGAATGAAACACGGTAGTAAAAATTGTGCCTTAGTCACTTCACTTTTTTATGTATAGTTTTTAACATCGCAGTCAGTCGGAACCAGTGATAGGAGGGCGGGATGCGCCCGCCTCCAGCTGCTCTGTTCTACCAGTAGTGATCGATTAGTGATGGAACTTGAAGGCAAGTTGCACGATGAATTCCCAAGACGTGTATTGAAACGTCTAGGAGGAAGGTTTGAGCGCTTCCGAGCAGGCTCTGCGTGCTGCCTTTTCTAAGGCAGGTAACCTTATAGCGCCCCATCAAGCTGCAACATATCGACTCGGGCGCCCACCGCCCCCCCCCCCATGCAACAGTACCTACCGTAGTGGATATAGCAAGTGCCAGCGGGGAACTCGTCCGAAGGTGCTTTCTGAGTCATGTAGGACAAATCCTTCTTTGCAAGTTTTTGGCGGTTTCACTACGTTTTTCGCCATTTCCCCTTCCCCCCCCCCCCCCCCC